TAGTTGGCTTAGCCCCTCACCTCTTTCAGCCTTTGCTTTCAATGCTGTGGCATACTGTCCCTGCCTCATGCAGACCAGTTGGTGTAAGAGCCTAGCTCGGCATGACCTGTGCTCTATCCTGATTTCTATTCTTTTTTGTGAGTTGAAGTTTGCTTGGCTCTGCCTGGTCCAACCCCTTCCAGCTGCAGCTCGGCCCACCCCACATCCTATTTTAGGGTGCAGCTTCGGGTGGTACTACCTTGACCTGCCCAGATTGCCATCTGTTCCTTTATCCATAAGTGATGGCAGGGACCATGGTCACTCCTAGCTTAGCCCCTTGCCACCCCAGTGCACGAGCTAACCTGCGGGACTTGTATTTCCACAGGGTTAGGCCCACGTTTCCCCCACAGATTTACCCCCGCCAAATTCTCTCGCGTGCTGGTTAGTGTCTTGACCCTGCCGAATGTGAACAGTTCACTATTTCACCACCCAGTCAAGTAATGGTACTTAGCCCTGCCAGACAGGCCCCCATCCAAAGCTTTGGTGTGGACTGGTATATGACTCTATGCTAACAGCTAACAGCCCATCTCAGGATTTCTAGTTGGGCTGGTGAATCAGTCTGGCCCATATAGATCTTATGGACACTGCCCTCCAAACCATCAGGTCTCAGTCCCCACATTTGCCCAAAGTTTCATGACCTTGTAACTGGGAATCACCCAGAATTCATCTCTCACCTACACTAAAACAGGTCTTATTCATGGTTGTCCCTAGGCAGCAATTACAGATCCTAAAAACCCCAGAGCTTGCCGAGTGGCCAGCAGGTGGAGCCTGGCGCCCCTTGGTGAACTGGCTGCCCTAAGCCAAGGACTCCTTCACTGCCTTCCAGCAGTAGCTTTGGCCTGAGGCCCCAGCATTGGGTCTGGCATGGTAGGGACAACCCCCCACAGCTGCCACACTGCAGGGAGCTACAAGCTGTCCCCAACTGCAAGGCCTGAACTTGTGATTTTATATAGATAATTATCACCTAAATTTTTATGGCTATTAATAAGCTTTTGTAGTCCTAAAACTCAACTACATGTTTTATATTTATAGGTTATTTTATTTTCTTTCTAGAAATGCAGTTGTAACTTTTCCATACTCAACTGTACCATGATCTAATCATGTAAGTGAAAAGTAGTTTAGTTTTTAATAATTGAATGTATTATAAATCTTATTTCCATATAATATAAAAATGTCCAAACGTTGTGTTTCTCAATATGTCACAAAAGTTTTCAGATATTAATTTCCCAAAATCTTTATTTTCAATCACTGTTTCCAATTCAAATTGAAGCCAAGAGCCAGGAGCTCTTCCAGATCTCCCACACAGGTGCAAGGTCCCAAGACTTTGGGCTGTCCTCGACTGCTTTTCCAGACTATAAGCAGGGAGCTGGATGGGAAATAGAGTAGCCAGGATTAGAATCAGTGCCCATATGGGATCCTGGCATGTTTAAGATGAGGACTTTAGCCACTAGGTCACAGTGCCAGGCCTGGGTTTTCTCTTTCTTATTAGAAATTTAACCAAGGTGTATGGTGAGTTTAGACTATGTTTAAGGCACTATAAAGGTGATAGCATTGTCTTTGAGCAGTGGGTTGGAAAGGGAGGGGTGAGACTTATTAAATAATGTGCACAGCAGTTAAATGCAGAATATATGTTGGAATTATTGAATGTTAAGTATAATGCTTCTCATGGCTTTTATCTTGAACTGTTCCAATTTCTCCATGAACAAGTTTGTCTAATTTTTTTAGTAAACTTGGTTGCCCAAGAATTAGTTTATCCATCAGTATATATGTTTTCTTCTTAATCACCCTGTTTCCCCAATCTAAGATTGTGGAAAATGGTTACTTCCACCAAAATTCTAGCTTCCACATGTTCTGCATCTCGAATTGTTATTGGAAGCAGCTTCCCACCCAGTCTTTGTATGTCAGTTTGATTTACATTTAAGAGTCTGTATGCTCAGTCCAGAAATCACAGCATGGGAGATGCTTCATTCTCTTCGAGCTGCTTATGAGGGAGATAAACCCCAGGCAAATTTTTGAGTTTGCATTTTGAAGATGGTAGATTTTCAATTTCTGTTCCTTAGTGACTCTGCTTTCCTCTTTGTATTGCTGCTGCACCAAGTATAACGCGAAATTAAGGGTGTGGGGATGAATCTGTTTCCTGGCGCTTTTGAACTTTAAGAAGTGATCTGAACGTTTTGATTCATAGCATTTGACTTACACCAACTCATTTCTTCTGTGATTACATCTTTCACTCTGACCCTTACCCTTCTTATGAACACCCTGAATAAACTTGTCTCCTCTGGATCATACCAGGTAATCTTTCTGGTTCAATATCCTACTTGCTGCCATTTGCGAAGTTCTTGTTCCATGTAACGTGCCATAGTCATTGGTTTCAGGTATTAAAAAAGGACACTTGGGCAAGCCATTGTTCTGCCTACCACAAAAGAGGACTAACCTTTCCACTTGTTCCTGCATGCATTCAGTGTGTTACTTTAAGAATAAAACCAAACATCTGTCATGTGATATCGGTGAAATTCAGATGCATATTTGTTGATGCATGCTCACAAACCCAGATTGGAGGTGGGTAAATTTCAGAAAAAAAAAAATAGTGCCAGTTAGTACTGTGGGTAGCTACATAGGGAATATGTATGGAAAATTGAAAAGTGGGCATAAAATTTTAGTAAACATAGTAGGTGATAATATAGAAGGTCTAAAGAGTTCCAACTAAATTCATAAATGAAATCAAAATATGTGGAAAAAAGTCATTAGGCATAGATTCTTTCTTGGTGTGATTAGCAAGGTATTTACAAGAAAGAAATGAATTCTGAAAATATTTGGAAAATATATTATCAGAATAAAAAGCAAACTGTGGTACATCTACTCTGTGGAACATTACACACTCTTTTAAGTTTTTATTTAAAATGTTAGCTTCCTAGGTTAGTGGAACAAGACTGCAAAGAACGAATTATAGGAGGAATAGCTTTATGACTTTGAGTGATTATGGTGGCTAGGAATACAGTAGACATAAATAGATCAGAAACTTGTTAAGGTGAAGATACAGAAATGATGAACTTGGTTTACAGAAAGCACATAATGGTAAAACAACCACTGAAATACCAATGTTTTACCCCATATTGAAGAACTCTTTGATGCTTAACGAATGGAGTATTCTTACAGTCTTAACTTGCATTCATTTTTTTTTGTAGGCAAATAATCTTCCTTTTATACCAGTTTCATCTAGGTTATTGGATAATAGCAACCAAACCATTAACTTTTTAAATGGTTGCAGACAAGCAAAACCAATGGAAGCTAATGTACCACAGACAGACCAAACATCAGAAATTTGAAACCCTATGTGTCATTTTATGTGGGGAGCCGTGCAGTTGGGTCAGATGGCATGGGTGTGTGATGAGCACCGCTCCTCAGTTAGCAAGGCTGCGAGGAGTTTCTTACTGCGAGGCAAGGCCCGGCAGAATGTCTCTGGTCACCTCATTGCTGCCTCACCCCACTGTGATAACACCCCACTGGAACTCAATCACCTCTCTGATGTTTCATAGAATTCTTTTGAGGGTGGTGGTGTTTTTTTGTTAATGTGAAGTGATTCCTGTAACTGGTATGACACCTCAAATTGATCAATCATGTTATGATAAATACACCTTAATAACAGTAAGGCTATGACACACAGCTTTAGTATACAATAGGACAATTGAGCCCACCATGTTTCCAAACATCCTGTTATGTGCCCACTTTTGTCCTGAAGTTTGCCCTAGTATAGGTAATGTCTTCCTTAAGAAATGGCTTGATAATATCTTGCAACAGATGGCAATCATGGAGGTACAAAGAGTTTGTTTACCATGCACCTCGAACTCTTACAACACATGATATGACGCATTTTAGTTTCTTACCACAGAAAGCAAAAATATATGGGGCATCTTTAATAAGGAAATAGATGTGAACCCCCTCAAAATGGCTTAAAATCTCTATCTTATGTTGACACTTATATTTAGGGAAAGAAAATAGTTTATATAGATGAAAGAAAGTTTCTTGTAAAGGCCCTCTGTTTGTAGGTTGGCTGAGCTGCCTTGATCCCTTTCACTGCCCTTTAACAAAAAAAAGAGAAACAATTGAATCAGCACTAGGTGAAGGTGATGATAATTAATGTATGATTTGATTATAAGAATTAGTAAAGAATCTGATATATACTTTTATAAAATCCTTTCATTTATGATCTTTTAATTCTGTACTTTTAATATTTTAGGCAATATTAGTTTGTGTTTAGTAAAAATTGATTTTGAGTATAAGTAAACTACTTGACACTGTGTAACCACATGCACTGCCAACCGTGGAGTTCCTGGCTTCAGCCAGGTGACTGCAGGTTTCAATGAGCAATGGTTTGTTGAAAATATTTTCCTTAGGATTGTTTTTTGTGTTCTCTTAACCATGAAGTAAAAATGAAACAATTGAAAATTGTGCAAAAGCTTGTGATGATTTATGTATAAATAAAGAAGGCAACTTTTCTGAGTTGTCCATTATGAGCATCATGTCATAGTGGTCCGTGTCTTATCTTTTCCTATCCATGCATCCTTTGCAAGCTCTCAGTCAGCTGGAGCTGGGCTCAGGCAATTTTACTTAAAAAGGAGAGTCATTCCCCTGAAAGAGACTATCCTTAGGTATTTTCATAGGAGCTAGCTTCTGCTGGAGAGCTTTCAAAGGATTACAGTTTGGAAATTAACTAGGGAACAGATCGAGCTGACAGATTTGTCTCACATGTTTACATCTTCTAAGAAAAATATGACACTTCCATAGCCCTCAATTTTTTTAAGATCTAACAATCCATTTATGGCACAGTTCATTATTTGGTTGAGGACCATTCTTGATGAATGGTATCGAACATTGTCATATGATGTAACAATGTTAAAGTTAAATCACTGCTTGATTTCTGATGACTGGTATTGGAGCTTCATTAAAAAAGTTTAATGAATGTGCTTGCTTCTGCAGCACATATATTGAAGTTGGAACGATACAGAAAAGATTAGCATGGCCCCTGCGCAAGGATGACATGTGTATTCATGAAGCATTCTATATTTTAAATTAAAAAAAGTTTAATGAACATATCTGTATGCCTTCAGTGATGTCTAGCCTTACCTTGGTAGTGTGAGGTTTGCCTTTGGGATTGTCCCTGATATTGCAGAGCTCGTTTTGGCCCATCAGTTCTCAGAATAAAGGAGGTAATTAGAAAATTTTATTCAAAAGCCTTAATTTGTGTTCAAAAACAGTTAATGGTAGAGAGAAAAATTTTGAAAGCTTTCCACTGCTCACAAGCTAATTCAATTTGAACCTTTATAAAGCACTCTGACTCTGGCTGCATTCTTGTCTGAGGTTCCACTGAGGAAGAATCTGCTTCAAGCACAAGACTGTTGGTAGCACTAACACCATGTAAGTAGTTGGACTAAGGACCACAGTGGCTTGCTGGCTGTCGGCTGGAAGAGAGAGTTTCTTGCTACATGAGATTTCCACACATGACTCCTTGCTCCTAAAAGCTAAATGTAGTAAGAGGAACATTATTTTCCTGTGTGACTTAGGCACATGCATCCCATCATTTGTACAGTATTCATCTGGTTAGGAGCAAGTGGTAGGTCATGCCTACAGTCAAGGGAGAGAGTGTGAATATCATGAGAGAGAGCTCAGGTGAGTAAGGATACAGTGCCATTTTAGGTACTAAGAATTAAAAACTTAATAATTTCCTGTCCCTGTGTTAATTTGTATGGTGACTGAGAACAGTTCCTGCTCGTGTGTTAAATTATGAAAGAACTTGGAGTGGTTTTCTGTCTTTCCCTTAGCTGAAAATGAGAATATGCCAAAATAGCTTAACTGTATTTTAAGAACTACTTGGTCCTGGAGCTTAAGCCTCTGAACTAATTCTAATATTTTACTTAACAAGACAGAACCAACTTGTTATCCTTGCTAAGATTCTGACCTTTCTCTCTGCCCTTCATCTGAAACTATTGTTTCAGAAACCATTACTTTATTGTAAAACTTAGCTTAAAATCACCTGCATTAAAACACTGTAACCATCCTGAGTTAATTTTTTTGATAAACAGCTATGTATATATTAAAGTGTGCTCTGTCATATTGTATGAGATCTAACAAACCTTGCTCTGACAGATTATTCTGGTAGTCTTTATGAAGGGTTATCTGTGCATATATGTGTGCGCATGTGTTTGCTGCTTATTTTATACATATATTCTGTTCTGATCAATTTTGTTAAGTCATATTTCAATTAAATATAAGAACTCTTCATCTGACCTTAGACTCCCACGGTGAGGATGTTTTCTACCTTCTGTTTTAGGAAGAAAGATGATGGATATGCTGTAGTACGTAGGTGTCTCCATGGACAAGGGTTGGGGCAGTGTGCTGTCAGTCCCTTGCACGGATTGTCTCCCAGAGCAAAAATCTTATCCCAGTGACTGAGGCCCTCCTGGATAGCAAGAGGAGAGCTGACTCAGCTTCTGCAGAGCAAAAGCCCCACTCCAGCAATCTTTAGATCTTTCATTTCTTTTTGTAAGAGTAATTGGCTTTTGTTCCCTTTTACAGTCTATTATGTTTATCTAGAGCCTCAGAGAGAGAAAGGCTTAATTGGAAAGGAGACATCTAAATTCTTCCATATTGGAATAGCAATTGTGCTTAATGGTTGGAGATTTATGCCATATGTTTCTGATTATACAGTGAATGCCTCAAGACAAGCTGTATAGCACAGGAGGTGGGGTGAGAGAAGGAAAAGAGGCTCCAGCAGACATATACACATGGATACTCAAAATATTTTGCTATTTACATTTCCTCTCTACCATACTCCTCCTGTTTCTTTGCATCTCAACTCATCTAGCTTAAATATTTCATGCAGTTCTGTTTTAATTTTTCTTTAAAAAATTTAAACCAAGTTCCTACTTTAAATAACTTGTATACCCTAAGAAAAGTGTGAGGCTTGTGCAGAAAATTTTTATATATGTCATGTTTATTTTCCCTTATACAAGATTGGTAACCAAACTTCAGACTGAGATTTCCTCAGTTTATGCATACTATTTTCTTCAGTCCATTATTCTTTATATTTAGTTTTCATGTTTTCTGATTCTCCTTTTGATGGGACAGTTTCTTAGCCTTTTCTTTATGATGAACTTAAAAGTCTGAAGGATGCAGGCAAGTAATTTAGAGTGCCCATCAATGGAGATTCCTAATTGGCATTTTTATTGCTGACTCAGATACCTGTGCTTGTCAGATTTTACAACAAAGTTTTTCTTTCCCCTGTATCCCCCATATTTCCATGCTGTACTCTTTGGAAAGAAGTAATATTCTCTGCTAATATTAGAAGAGTAGAAAAGGACCATCATGGTAGCATAGTAGGCTTATTCTCTGCTTTGTCGTGCTGGTGTTTCATATGGGTTGCTAGTTTGTGTCCTGGCTGTTCCACTTCTGATCCAGCTCTCTTCTTATGGGCTAAGAAAGCAGCAGAGGCTATACCAAGTCCTTAGGCCCATGCACCATGAAGCAGCTCCTGGATCTTGACTTTGGATCACCTTAGCTCCAGCTGTTGCAGGCATTTGAGGAATTAATCAGGAGAGGGAAGACCTTCTCTCCCTCTTGTTCATGCTTTGTAAATCTGCCTTCTAGGTATAGGAAACACAAAGCAGAAAGAAGAGGGATCTAGAGCATCTTATTGTTTGTTATATTAGAAATTAAGGAATAATTGCTTACTTTTAATCCAAAGATGACAAAACTCAGTTACAGTCAAGTGTCAGTTAGGGTTGTGGTCATTGATGAGACTGAAGAAGCCACTTGCAGACTCAATCACGTAATTGTGAAGAAACTTTAGTTCTTCCCTATGTAGGCCTCCTCCTCGTGGCCTATTGGAGCAATGTAGTGGTTGGTTTGCTCCAGAGTGTATGATGAAAGAAATAGAGGGGTTTAGTTATAAAACACTGAATCTTTTGGCAACTAAATTTGACATGAGACACACTTAACTAATTCTAGCCCACACTTAATCTAGATAAGGAAATTGTGCTCTATTTATGGAAAGGAAGAGTATCAAAAAATTTGCAATCATGATCATAACCACTGCAAGTATTGCTGGTGTCTTGGAAGTATCCTGGTGCTTTGTTTAGTATTTGACTCTAAATAAGCAAAGTTTTAGCACTCCAAAATAGAAATGGCCTGGGACAGATTCAAAGGCAAGTTAGCTGATAGCACTGTTTTTTAACTTTGGGTATATTCCTCATTTAGGCTTTGTTTGTATGTCATTAAATAGAATGGTGGCTAGATAATTCTTTAATTTATTAGTATAGTCACATTAACTTTTTTCATGATGTGGGTTTCTCATGAATTTTTAAAAAACTCCTTGTATAATGAAATCACCAGTAATTTGCAGGAGGGGAAGTAAAATGAGGTTAAAGGAGCAAAATAACTGCAGTAAGGTGACATGGTCATGGAGGTGAATTACCAGCCCAGTAGGGTCAGCACAGAGAAAACAACTAGATACCACATGAATTGGGTATCTGGCATCTTGAAAATGCATGAAAGCAAAAGCTGGGGGAAAGACACCGAAAAACACTCTGCACAAACAGAAGTAATAGCTCCAGTCTGCCAGTCAGCTCTTACTGCTCTTGATGTACAAACAGCTTTCTTATTTCCCTTTGCTCAAATGTACTTAGACTCCAAGTGCCTGAACATAATTGTGGAGAGGTAAAATACAGAAGTGCCTCACTTCCAAAGTGCGTTGCATCTGTCTAAGAGGAAACCCCCTCACCACTTTAATATATGTATTTGTGTGTGTGTACACATTTTTATTAACCATATGCTTGCAGCTACAATGTACTTGGCAGGATTGCAAGAGCATAATAGCTATAAGCTTCAAAGCAAAAAAAAAAAAAAGGGAACTTGTTTTTTTAAGAGGAATAAAACCTTCTAAATCACTGCAAGCATTCATTTACACATTTTTCTGTGTGCCTGTTAGCTTTTCTTCATTTTCTGTCTACTCATTCCTTGAACAAAGATGAATATTGTAATTGTACATGATACAAACACTGGAAATCTGTGTTTACATTTGTGCTTCCAACTAGATATGCTAAATAGTGTTTGATCAGCAGTGATGTGGTTTTATCTCAATGTTTTGTGCAGCATACAGCCTCAGTGATTATGTTGTGATAACCAAATTTTCCCCCATATCAAAACTTGGAGACAATCCCAGTTTTTGAAATGGCTCTTTGATTATGAAATACGATGAAAACCTCTAATATTTCCTGGGGTTATTTCTGCATTTTCTAGAAGTGTTCCCATTCCCCTTTGTTTCCTTAAAGGGTGAGGATGGAGGACTTAACAATTTACTCTCCACAGCAGTGCGGAGGTGTTATGATTCCAAACAAGCTCAGAGACCAGCTAAGAGAACCCACAGAGATATTTCCCAGGCGATGCCATGACATGAAGGCTGCAGGGTGCTGGGAGTTTGATGTGGGGATGGATATTCTATGAAGGAATCCTGTAGCACACTGGACAGAACGACAGATGAGTGTGAAGAGGATGGGAAATGACTGACATTTACACAGGAATTCTGAAGATTTCCAGCCTTCTAATGAGCTGAAGGCAGGCTAAGGCTCACATAAGGTTTGAGGAGCTTCTGCCCTTAGGGAAAAGGATTAATTCACAGAGAAAGGAGTATGCTGTTAAAACACAGACATGCATTTCCAGTCAAAGAAAAAAAAATGGTAGGAATAACAATCTGAGACTTTCTATCTTTCTCTTTTAAAATAAAGACACGTTTTGCTCTTAAGGAATCTTATTTCCTCAGTGAGTCTGTGAGGGCTGTTGTGTTTTGAGAGAAATCGGATGTACTTTTAAAGGGATACTGTCATTTGGAAAATTATCTATGCTTTGCATTTTAACCTGGCTAAACTGTGTCCAGATTCTGTCGAACGCTGCTTCTCTCATATAGCACGGATCATTTTGTTTCTTAAACACTTATGAGAGGTACATCGCTTGATGTACAGATAGCTTTCATCAATGCTAATGGGAGTTATGCTCCTGCACCAGGAGAGACTAGAG